GTATGTTTTTTTTCTTCACTGAAGAAAATTGAAAAGCTCCGATGGAGTAGGCAAAACGAAAGTATATTATAGATATAATAATAGTGTACAAGCTTTGTAGAAAACAATATTCATATAAAGCAGTGATTTTGATAAACAGTAACAATATCAAAAAATCAAGTCAAGAAAACAAAAAAATTAATCAGCGTTAAATTTCAATCAGTTTATGTATAAAAAATATGCACGAGAGTTACAATAAGTAGCATGAAATATCAGCAGTGAGAACAAGAATAATAGTCATGCAGATGGAACAATAATAAAATTATACATACACATAAAATCGAACAGTATTAGATTATTGTCAGGAAAAACTCCTAAACACGCAAAGTATATACAACAAAAATGACTTTTAGCAGTCCATTATATGGGAAACATCCTTGTGGATGTATATCATTAAAACAAACATAAGAATCGTCATTTGTTTTAATCATTGCGGTGAAGTTACTTTGTGTGTTATTAAAGCCGGTCGACAGATGGTATCTAAACATAGAAATTATCGAGAAATTTGTGAAGCTAAGGTAGATTAACTTACTCATATGGACCAATGTATAATGGATCAGGCAGTTCCATCATTAGTGGCTCATCTGTTTCAATATTAATGATCACAAAAGGTGACACATACTTTAAATGTTGCATATATACGGTGCGTGGTGCTTGACATATATATCGCTTCCTAAACTCATATATTTCAGATATGAATATTTAAAAAAAATAACAGAATTCTTACTCAATGCAAATAGTATTCGTTGTCACATCAGTAACCGGAAAATGGTCGTCAATAATGTCATCATCAGGATAGTTGTGAGGCTCGTCAGGACCAAGATTAGCACCACAAGAAACTATAGAATCATTTGTGAAGGATTCAATATAATTCGGAAATTGCTTGTTGATTTTAGTAAATAGATTTCGGAAATGTTGATAGTAATAAGTTCCATAATTGAAAAAGAAAAATTAAAATAAAGTTGTTATACAAGAAGAGTTTCTAATGGTTAAATATATCGGATCTATGAAAAATATCTAATTATATAACAAAGATTAGAAGCTTCTTAAGTATTTTTACAGAAGACTAGATTCTCACAAGACTTTAACGAATCGAACAATTAAGTTTTTAATATGGTTCCTGTGGTAGTCTTATGTATTTATAAGGTAAACAAAGTTATTTATGTTCTTCCGTTGTCATAACACATATTTATTTTTAGTTATCTTTTGCTTCTAGAAGCTATTGTTTTATGAACTTATACATTTTCGGTCATGAAATTATTAAAATCCGAATCCCAAGCCTTATCTTAGTGACATTCCATAGTGTGCACTTTTATATATTCAAAAACTTACCGTAGTGTTATATCGACACTTGAATGTTAACGTATTCGTTTTCGACAGACAACACATGTACATTCAGAGTTAATATCAAACTCTTGCATTAGCCTTACGAAATCGAAAACAATTTTGGTCAATGTACTTTGCAAATTATATTCGCCGTCATGATTTTTCACATTCAGCAATTTATGTCGCAAAAGCCAGTGTAGCCGAGCCATAGTCCAATCATGACTTTCAACGTATTGAAAAGTTTGACGAAGAGCAATAAAAGCATCGACAGTATCGTTTTCAAATAGCTTACGAAATCCATCACTACCCACTTTATAGACATGATATAAAACGAAAAGACCAGTGTCAACTGGACATGTTTTAGTGATAGAGAATGATTGACCTTCATAAATGCCATTTTTAATAGCATATCTAGGCCACGTCAGGTTCAGACTACCAAGTGTCATAGTGAATTGTCGTTTGCTACATGTAGATTGCTGTTTTTTTGATGAATATAACGGCGATACTTTTATTTTCTTTCGTTGTTCGTCAGATATTTTTTCCATCACGTCAGCAGAAACAGTATCGTTGGACGATAAAAGAGGTCGTTTCGGTGAAAGTGCTCGAGCTAATAAATTTGGACTAATTATTGGAGAAATATAATCATTGGCATATCTTGGAGTGGGAGTGTGATGACAAGAACTTCTTCGTACATTTTCTTCTGTATCTGTTGTTTCTGGTTCACTAGGTACAACATAAGACACTGAAGTCGGTAAATTATCTTGTGCAACTTATCGAGAATGTAATGGACCATCAAAATTGCTACATGATGATGACGAAGAACTAAGACCGAATATGAAAACATCATCACCGTTTAGTTCAGTTGGATTATAAGACTTGACCGAAAATCCAAATGATTGATTAAAAGCTGAATGAGTTGATAAACTACTGGAGTTTGCGTCACTAAATATCAATAATTATTCAAATAAATTTCTCTACTTAAACAGGTAAGATATTAATATAATAGTGAAGCAAAGTATTCAAGAACTTTCCTCGTTTTATATCTTCATCACTAAATTGTGTATCTTATTTTAGATTCTGTTGTGTATACCCAAAGAATTGGACATCTCTGTATAATATCACGAATAGGTATGTAGCAAATTGTAGGAAACAGAATACACAAAAAACAAACTATTACCGATACTGGTGGATCGCTCCTAACTTAACCAATTAAAAGTAATACGTACTTAAGGTCTGATAAGGTATTGACAGACGAGTAATCGCTTGTTGTACAAGATGAAGCTTAATCAAATTGAACTTTTCGTTGCTTTGGTTTTTCTTCACTAAAGCCATGAACACATTAGAATACCTCCCCATATTAGAAGACCCCCCCATATTAGAAGACCCCCCCCCCCATAATAGAAGACCCCTTCAGAAGAACGACGCAAAAGACAGATTAGAAGACCCCCCTCAATAATAGTTGATTTCTTAGTTCTTCCGACATCTATTTATTCATAATTTTTGCACCTTTATATCTTTTGAGCGTCTCTTGAAAGTATTTTTCTATCTTTTCTGAAGTACCAAGCGGCCTATATTCAAACAATAGCATACGTAATTAACTCAGATATGCATGCATGTTATCTCCAATTTATCCTCTTTTAACTCTCAATCTCACTTGCCTTCTCTATGACGTTTCTTTGAAGGCACATGAATTGAA